TGAGTTACAATGCTGTATCTCCTTTTTTCTTCATATTCTTCAATCTTTCCTCTAATACTGTAATTCCCACGCATGCTCCCATATCAATGACTAGGAACAAGTGTGAAGCAGCATCTTCAGTCCTACAAAGACTAAATGGCTGAAAAAAAGGGGAGTGGGATCTTTCACTGTCTTCTGCCTCCTCATATTACTTTCTTCAAAAATCAAACCTTAATATATATATTTGTCCCTTTTGCATGGATCCTTTTATTTTAATTATTCTGAAGGACTACGGAAGTAAGACAGCATTAGAGAAGTGGAAGTGATAGATTAGCATATCTGATGACATATAAAAATCAGATTTCTCATTTACTGGTACAAGAACGTATTTCACTCAAATACTTAATACACCATGCACTGCTAAATTCTTTACCTTGCTTTTAGCACTTTTATGCCAGGTATACGTTTCATGAAATCTTCTCTGTGTGGTAAAATTGATCAGGCCATTTTAACCAAAAATCAAAGAGGGAAAAGAGGAGTTACTGTCTGTAAGTATGGGCATACCAGTTGTTGGGTGTACCACAATTTTAGAGTCTGTCTACCTGTTCAGTCCAATCACAGTTACGGTGGTCTTCCTCAGGTAGGGAAGAATGCATGCAGATGGGGAACTTCTACCAAGGAATTCTCTCTCCATTGAATTCAGAAGAGATGATGACTCAAGAGCTGGAAAGGTCAAAAAGTGGAAGCAAGGACTAAACAATTCTCCAAGTTCACAAGAGCAAGCTGGTTCCTCTCTCCTGCTCTAAGAGTCAAGCAACCGCAAACTGCAGTAGGAAACTTAGGGTCAATAAAATTGTGATACTCTTTCTGCAGTGCTAAAACCAGCTTTCTAGTGCCTTGTGACACTTAAAAGATCAGTAAGGTATCCTTCTAATGCCTGCCAGAACAGGATGAAAAACTAGATCAATATTGCTGCAGCATGAACAGGCAGTATCAGCTGCTTCTTTACTACAACTGCATCAGGCTGTCACTGCCCTCACATCCTCCCTAACAACCAGCTGAGCAATTTCTGGTGATCTTCTATCTCTACAATTTAGCAATGTGCTTGTAGGAAAAGGGGAATCTCCAAGCCTTGAGGTTATTGGGGTTGTTTCTGATCCAGAGCGTGGATGCTGCTGAGGTTCCCTCAAGACTTTTCACACAATCCTTCAGGAATTATTCTGCACACCTCAGCACCAAACTTCCTTGGCAGCCAGCAAAGACAGTATAGTCAACTCCTGGAACTATCTTACCAACAAGTAAGAAGACAGCAATGAAAATATTATCTTTGTTGTAATCTGTTGCTTTAGTTGTGATGGACTATGGAGGACCAATAGCCAGAAGGTGACAGAGCTATAAAATATTAACAGGGATCACCTATTCCCTCACCCTTCCCTGCCTTTCATTAGCTGACACTGCAGTTTTCCTGGCTGCAGGGATCAGGGTGAAGGAGAGCAAGGCAAAATACCTACTCCACGAGTGGGTCTAGTCTGGCTTTTGATTTACATTCTGTGGATATATCTACTCGAGTATCTTAATTCAAATCAGAAATGTGCTTTTGAGGGAACTCCTCCATTTGCCTGAGCTCTCCACATCTTGGTTCTCTCTTGGAACTGTTTGGGGTCCATGAACAGGGTGACATTTGGATTAACTTGAAAGCTAGGATCTCTTGGAGAATGCCTAATGTGCTCCAACCTTTCTGGGCATCCCGTTGGCAGAGTCAGGCAACAGCTAGTCCAGGGTACTCCTCAGGACACATATAATGGGGTGTCAGGTCCTTGGCATCAAATGTTGTGCTGTCACAATCAATTTGTCTTGCACCACACCACTTGCTAATTGACCCCTGGCAGCTACCGCAGTACCTAGAAGCTGCTACTACATACAGAATCAGTCTTCCTAAATGAGATACAGGCTGGGATAGATGTCTCATTTAGGACAGCACATTACATAGATTAATTCCTCTAGATTATAAAGACCATTCACTCCATCCTGTTAAATGTAATTTATGTGTCTGTAATTAAAAAAAAAAGATAAAGTGACTGGTAATAATATATTCCTTCATCATTCTAATGCACGAATTTGAGCAAACACTGTAAAATGACCAAAAACTCTTAAGACAATCCATTTCTGCCCTCTGAATCTCCAAGCACCCTCCAGCATTTGCAAACAAACCAAATTCTCGTTTTGCCAAGACTTTTGAGGAATGCACATCAATGTGGGAACTGAGAAGGGATGTTCGAAGTCAAGGTTCAGCTCAGTCACACTAGGTGCCTGTTTTGCTTTTAGTACATCTGGACTTCTGACACTGAACCTTTGAATGCTGTACAGAGAAATACATCATTAGTGTTATTGACTGTTGCCTTTGCTAAAATCTTACACATAATAGTTCCACTTCACTCTTTCACTACAGTTTCTACTGCCAGAAAGCTCCAGTGACGTGTTTTATTAGGCAAATCCACCCTTAGTTAATCTAGAAATAGGACCTGTATAAACAGCAGAAATTTAGGATTGTGATTAATATAGCAAATGTAATTCTACCATGTAATTTCAATTCTATGTAACTCATATTATAAATCTGTAAATGCTTCTGAAGTCTGTAGGCTTTTTGCCAGCATTAATATTGGTAGAAAGTAAGAAATATTTCTCTGGTCTTTGATTGCTTTTCAGCCTCCAGATCTGATATATTCTCAAAAATCTGTCCCAGTCCTCCATCTTGTGATATTCAGTACAGTTTAAAAATAAACATTTTTGCCTACATATAGATTGCTTACACAGGTGAAGTGCTTTACAAAAGAACATGAGCTATTTCAATATTTATAGCTTTTTTGATGACACAAACTATGGCAGGGTTATATTAAACTACCTTGACACTAACTTATGAAAATATATTAAATTTTAAAGATTGAAAATACAAACTTTGTTTAATTTTTCATTATATAATCCATACAAGTCTTCATTGAAAAATATTCCAATGAAGCAGTCTTCCCATGTAAATCACTCAGGGAAAAACTGATTTTCCATTTCATAGAAGTATAAATCTAGGGATCTAAAACAAAAAGTCGTACAAAAACTGTTAAATCCCAAACACTGCTTAATAAAAATTACTGCTACGTTAGTCATCTTATGCAGAACAGACTCATACTCATGCCCTTTAACTCAGCATAGTCATGACAGAAGTTTGTGCCATCTCAGACTCATGGAATAAGGCATCAAACTGTTTCATGGATATGCTCCCAATATGGAACCATGATGCAGTTATCCATTGTTAAGATTTTAAATTATCAGTCTGGAACTTAAACTAACTGAAGGTGACTAGCCCAGGAGATGACAGGGAGAGGCAGATCATGGAAACATAAAGTCATAGAATGGGTTGGGTTGGAAAGGACCTTTGAAGATCAGAGAAGATAGAATCTTCTGCTACCTCTGGCCAGCAGTGATAAGCCAATATTGCTTATTTACAGATTTGGGGATCAAAAATTGAAGTTTTGTGACTGTGCTCAGATGTCATGGATTTATGTTTTAAGATATCAGCTGGATTTAGCTTCTTAAGAATTCAAAGATACAACTGAACTTTCTCACGAGCACAAACTGACTTCTTTTAAATTCTAGTTTTAATGAAGTAACAGGAAAAAAGGGAAGAATTGAAATAGTCTCAGTAAATTAAACCCATCAGACAGCTACATCGGGATTGTGTGTAAAATCATTTCATTCCTTTAGCAGTCAGGGTCTGCACTCGTTACCTGGTGCATACCTAGTGAAGGACTGCTGGAGCACAGCAGTCACCCGGATTGGCAGCTGTGGAACCAACACAGCATCTGTAGGATCATGTGAGCATATGTGTGTGAGTACGCACGCGCACACACACCCACACACCCACAGCCTCCTCTACATTTCTAGAAAACACAGTGGAAAAGAACACGCAGACCTGGGAACAGGGACGTGCATCTGCATTCTGCACTATGGATGAAACCCACAATATTTCATATGTGTCCAGGGAATGTACTGAATAGGAAAGGTAACAAGATGTAAAGTAAACAGGGACCACCAGTTGACTCACTTTCTCTAGCCTTCATATTCACCTGTTAAATATTGGCTGATAGTATAAACTTAGGGCTGGTGTCATCAGGAAGGGTGAGCAAATATTCAGGATCAAAACCTAATAGGTATCAATTCTGATCCTGCAGTGTTCCCAGTGTCCCCAGATGAAGTAGTTCTAGGTAACAGTCAAAAGTCACTAGTTTGTAGCTAAGCCTGGGCTTTTTCTTTCTTTCTCATAAATTTTAATTAGTACTTCTATCTCTACTACTTACCATGGAAATTATACCAAAATTCTGAAGAAACAAAGCCTTATCTCTTTGGAAAATTAGGAATCATTAATCCTACACAGGTGACCTGATGAAGTGATTATTCAGCTAATGCAGTACCTTCCTGCCATCTTGTGGCACTGCAGGTTTTGCAACTCTCTGTTTGTTATGTTGAGTAATTTTTATTTCAAATTAAGTTAAATGGTTTTTAAGTTTCAGATGTCATCTAGTTAAACAACACACACACATACGCTGAGTGAAATCTTGGTCTGACTAGTAGCAGTGTCAAAACTCCCGCTGATAAAAAAACCTTCCAGACTGCACTAATTGTATTAATTTCAAGGTCTTATTATGTGAAAAATGAAAATAAATTCAAACTAAATAATGTAAAAATGGATTTCAAAGATTACTGTTATACTGAAATAATCTGTACTTATCTCTGAACTAATACCTTGCATTTCTATCATGAATTAATCTATATTTTTCAATTGGGATGCTTTGGTGAGTTTTGAAATAGATACCTCCTTTTTCTGAAGAAAAAAGAAACTGCATCTTTTATATGACTTACGTGACTTCAGGCAAGAGCCTGCAAGGGCTTGTTCAAAGTTTATTTACTTTTCAAAAATAAAGGGACATATGAGATTGTGCTACTGTCCGATTTCCTGTTCCTGCTTTCAGGCTGGAATCACCAACACGATCTTTGAGCATGGATGCACCACGAGGAATTAATATCAAAGCACAAGCTGGAAATATTGAAGCTCTTTCTCAGATGGATATCAAACTACATAGCAGTGATGGTGTGGTGAGTACAAGCCCTTCTGTTTCCATAACTATGGTTGATCTTCCTGACTGAATATAACTATAACTAAAAGTCTTTTTTTCACATCTGGTTATTTTAATTCCTCAGGTTTTAGAAGACAGAGTATTAAAATTAATAGTGCCAATAATAAGACTTTTATTTGTGTAAATAATACTACCAATTGCCATAATGTTATATTAGCTTAGAGAAAAGCTCTCTAATAAAACTTGGATAGCAGTCAGCTCCCCATGAGCATAGTGATCCCCAGGCATCCCAGTGGGGAATGCTGGCCCAGAAATAGACACTCAGCCCCAGAGTAGTGAAGCTCTTCAGACATCATTAAGAACTGCCCTGTCAGCAACAGCACACAACATGCAGCAGCCTATTTATCCCCTCTGCGAGGCTGTACCATGCCAGTTCTTCCACAAAAGAGCTACAGATGAACCCACGTCTGTCCTTAACCAGCCAGCTCGGTGGTGAGGCTTCAGCATTCAGGCCAGGACAGACTGGGTCCAGCAGCAGTGCTCATGTCCTGTTATTCAATATATGGGCAGAGACCCCCTCTCTTATCTTAGAATCATTGAATGAATTGTGTTGGAAGAGACCTTAAAGACCATCTAGTTCCAACCCCACTGCCCTGGGCAGGGACACCTTCCTCTAGACCAGATTGCTCAAAGCCCTATCCGGTCTGACCTTGAACACTTCCAGTGATCAACAAGTTCTCTGTGAAACCTGTTCCAGTACCTCACTGTTGGAAGAAATTCTTTTCTATACCTAATCTAAATCTACCTTTTCCAGTTTAAAAACAGTATCCCTGACAAAAAGAGTCCCTCTCCAGCTTTAGTGTAGGCCCCCTTTAATTACTGGAAGGCTGCAATGAGGTCTTCCTGGAGCCTTCTCTTCTCCAGGCTGAACAACTCCAACTCCCTCAGCCTTTCCTCATAGGACATGTGCTCCATCCCTGTGAACAACTTTGTGGCCTCCTCTGGACTCACTTCAACAAGTCCATCTCTTTCTTATGCTGAGGATCCCAGAAGTGGACACAATATACTGGGGCAAAGTAGAGGGGCAGAATCCCCTCCCTTGACCTGCTGGCCACACTGCTTTTGATGCAGCCCAGAATGTGATTGGGGTTGCAAGTGCACATTATTGGCTCATACTCAATTTTTTATCCATCAATACCCCCACATCTTTCTCCTCAGGGCTTCTCTTAATCTACATTCATCACCCAGCTTGTATCCACGTTTGAGATTGCCCCAACCCAGGTACAGGACCTTGAACTTCGTGAGGTCTCTGCTAATGAAGACAGTGGGCACCAGGTTATCCCCACATGTGTTCCAGTGTCTGCCAAGAGCCTAGCTCTCAGAGCAGTTTTGTATATAACAAGTCGGGGTAGAAGGCCGTTCTTAGATATCTGCCTAGACAAATTCATCTTGTTTTATGGCATGTTATTGCTTTACTTTATTATCTCTAACAAGCCCATTTGTCCTGCTTTTTCCCACACAGCTTTTGCTCGATGCTGAAACTGTGCGACTGCCCAAACTGCCTGAGGGTACAAGGGGTGGATCCGGTATTTCTCAGGGGCTCTATGAAATCTGCGTGTGCCCAGATGGAAAGCTCTACTTGTCAGTGGCTGGCGTGGGCTCCACCTGCCAAGAATACAGCCGTGTCTGCCAATGAGGCACCAGAAAAAGCCGCACACCCCCTTGCGCATCTGAGTTTTATATTACTGCTAAAAAGCATTACTGAAAGAGTATTTTTCAGAATTTAAAAAACTAAGTACTTCAATTTAGGAAGCAAATTTGTATCTACAATTCTGGACTACAGGGTGTAAGGGGAAGAAGAGCACAAATGACATTTCAGTTTCAGAAGAATGACTTGAATCAAATTACATGTTCTGTCAGTAACACTTTGAAAACAGCCTTACGGAGAGCATAAAAAAATAAAACTAATATGTTTCCTTGCTGAACTATTATTCAGTTCAGATGATTATGTCATTGTTCATATTTTTGAGATCTGTGGGTTTTTTCTCTCACTACTTGTAAGCACTTACTGTATGAGTGGGTGAATTTAGATTGAGGGAACTACTTGAACTATTTGCTAAGACAAAGCATTATTTGGAGAATTCAGAAAGTGCCAGCAAATGGTCTATGCAATTTTGTTCTTGCAATAACACATGATATAAAAATGTGATATTTGTATAAGTTCTCTGTAAAAGGTGTTAATTTGCTAAAGCTTTCTATTTTAATTTGGCAACATATATGCTGATTGGCTTATTACTGAGATTCATATAAAAATAACTAATAGTAAAACCTCCAGAAGTCATTAATACTGTCGTGCGTCTCAATTCTGTCCACTATACAACAGAGGAATATGTTATTAAATTTTATAATAGCAGTTGTTTGTTCTACTGCCTGTACTGTCACATTCATTTAAATCCTTTTTTATTTTAGGACATGCTAATTCAATAAGGCAATTTGTTCTGCCATTGGACCACTGAAAAGAAAAAAAGTGTGGCTTCAGATTGTCTGACACAAGGAATTGTTTTAGCAGTGGGGAAAAAAGTTCTTTTACGCAGCCCACAGGTTTCAATTAACAGGAATATTTTATTTCTGTCTGCAGCTGTTGACTGATATTTCCGATCCTGACAGACTGGGACTCCATCACAAATGGACAGAATAAAACTGCTCTTTATTTTTTACATTAGGACTTGGGTTACAAAATAAGTGCTCACCAGAGTTGACAAACTCTTCATTAACCTTGTAAAGAAATACAGCTGCAGACCCATTCCCCTGTACAGTGTTGCACTGAACACAAATAAATTGTTTGCACATCTCTGGGTAGCAAGATTTATATTTAATAGTCTGTTGTTTAAACCTTTTAATTCCTTTGATGCTGTTTTGTATACACTTGATGGTATTGTTATCCAGGAAGGAGCTGCTATCACACGGTGCCTTGGTGTCTATTTACAGAAGGATTTTAACCCATAATTGTTAGTAAACCACAGAATGTCCATCCTTTGGAAAAAATAATAATCATCCTTAAAACAAGAGAATCGGAACAAAAGAGTTACTAACTTTTTTTAAACTTGCTACTTCGGCTCTGTTGAACAAGGGAGAAGAAAACCAACACTCAGTTAACATGCCTGGTACACACAAAAGCCTGAGCTGAGGAACAGTCCCCTGTTGACAGTATCCACTATTATTGCAGTAAAGCCCTGGACAGTCCCTGCCTCAAGGGCTGCCTTTGCAATTTACCTAACTAGTCTGATGTACAAAACTGAAACTGCCCTTCGGCATTAATTGCGGAGTCCCCACAATTAATGCAAGCTAGAAGAGCTTCAACAGGGCAAGTAGAAGATGCTTAAGCTGAGCTTAAGCAATTGAAGCAAGGTCTCACATGTTATTTGGAGACTGCTCTGATTGCTAATACATTCCCTAAATGAGAAGTAGGAAGCCACACTTCTTTAACATCTGAAATTCCCTTTTCCTGGGCTTAGACTCACTCACTCCTACCTTCAGGAGCAGGTCTGAGGCTGTTGGCCATAAAGAGAGGAATTTATATCTCTACAACAATATCTCTTGATTATATCTGCCCCTCCAACTAAGCCCTCTTCTGAGGCAGACTTTAACAGAAACATATCTTCAGTACTCCTTAGGCAGTTTAGGTGGTTCCAGCTCCATGCATAAGCTTTTACAAAACAAATTATGAGCAGTATGAGTATTAAAATAAAGATCAGCAAATACCTTTGCATTTGCCATATTCCTAAAAATTCCTCTAACAAGAAGTAGCTTGGAGGGCTGTAATGTCAACAGTCTCTTACAGATGTAGTATTAACAGCACAATTGGGAAGTGCTTAGAGATTTGTCACTGTCTAGTTTCAAAGGCATTTGAATTGTCACCCTTCCCAAATTTCTGACACCATAGAACATATGTTCATTTCCATGTAGTATCAAACTAATCATTCACCTAATCTAATCACTGTAAATTAGTTACAAACTGCCTATCCTGCCAGCAATAGAAGCACAGCACTTTAAGTTATATTTATGTTATACTTTAAGCTTTTGGTTTGGAGGCACATTTTCAAATGTCATTTGCCAATTAACAAAGAACAAGGGATTGAACTAAGGCTTTCCATGTATCGCAAGAATAACCTCTAACTTCTGGGTATATGGAAGCCACTTCTGTTGCAACTTCTTACAGTGATGTTGTGCTGTTTTAGTTAACGTTTTTACAGAACTGAGGTATACAGCTCGGACAGTAGTGTTACCCTGACTGGTAACACTACTAATGGCACTTCATTTAGACACTGCAATAACTACCGCCTTTCTTGTAAAGATAAACCTTCTGGACTTGCCTCAGTTCACAGGTAGATTCTGATTATTATTGAAAAATAAACAGGTCTGCTGTACCCTAAGTGCTGCCATCACCCAAATAACCAACTTGCCCCTTTTCATTGCCTAAATTTCATTCTTCTTATCATTATGCTACAACATTGATATCAGAAGTATTGTTGCAGTATAGAAGTTGTGTACATTTTTTAAAGCATGGATGGCAACATCCTATCACTGAAGAACATTTTTTGGATCTTTTTTCTTTTAGATGTGGTTAGTGGTAAAACGAAATTTATACTAAAATTACTACACTGTAATCAGGTGATGCTAAAATCTCAGTTGTTGTTAATCTCAATATAGCTCATACATCACTAAATTATCATTTCTGATATCTCCACATGGACGTCTTTCCCTTTCTCTTTAATACTTAAAAATTACTGTTTCTATTTGAATCAAATTTCAGTAAATAGTTACAGATTAACAGAAAATTATGGCACAGGGCAGTGTGAGTATGCAGTTCTCTAATTTATTTGTAAAAGTGTTATCCAAATGGAGAAGAGAAAAAATCACTACCAGCATAGTGAACTGTATTGTGGTGGGGAAAAAAATATTTACTGCCTCAAAAAGAATTATTTACAGCAATTCTTGTAACTGGTTGCAATTGTTACACAGCAGAAAAATTATAGTAAAACTTCATTGGTGATTGCCCAAACTCAACCCTTTTTGTTTCCATTTTACAGTCCTTTAGTCTTCACACTTGTCTATCTTTATATAGCTTTATGCAAAAGGAAATTGCGAGAATCGAAAACTGAGTTATTGAATAAACTTTATACCTTTTGAAAAGTCTGCTTCTCCTTTTGTGTTCAAATGAAACACAGCTTAAATGAATGTTTTCATTTTTAAACAAAATTATCTTCCCAAGACTCTAAGAATGTGAAATGTACAGTATTTAAAAATACGACCAAAAATCTTGTTCCAAACTAAAAACGTACTTTGGAGAATTTAGAAAATGCTTTACAAGTAGGTTTCACTGGACATCAAGAATTCTTTGTCTTAATCAGTAGTAGGTAAAAGTAAACAAAAAAAATTACTCCAGTGGTACTGAACAAATCATCCAGAAAACAAACCAGTTTTGATTAAAAACTCATTGACAAATCCCTTCATGTGACAAAAATGTATGTCTTCAAATGAAAACATTTACTTTGGCTATCAAGTTTAATTATCTTTGAACTATTACTTCTGCCTTTGTTCCGTAAGACCAATCCAACCTTTCTCAAGTGTTCAGGTCCAGCAACAGAAAATCTCAAAGGTAGTACTACCCCCCTCTACTTTAATTGGAGCAATTACAATACATTTAATTACAGCCTTGTTTAAAACAACCCATGTACCAAGTGAATGCAATCCTTATAGTAAGTTTCTAAATCCTATTTTACAAATCACCACAGTAACTTTACTGATAATGATATGAGTACAAATCATGCAAAACTGCATTTTTTACACAATAAATCATTTATTTTTCTTTTGGTAGTCAGATACACAAAAATCTATTTCCTTAACAAGAAAAGAAGTTATTTTTCTTGTCTCTAATTGCTGAGGCAATTGTTCAGTGCTTTTTAAAATAGCTGTGTATGCCATTGTTTGAGAGGACAACTTAAAGCTTCCACAGGAAGCTAGTAACAAGCCTGTCAAGGCTTCTTACAACTGCAGTTCCTTAGATTTCAGCTATCAAATGTATAGTTAAATCAGTCACCTGTACTACTGATTTTTTTGCTAAACTTCTCAGCTATAATACTGGGAGGCAAGACTGCTGAAGCTCCTTTTCCTAGATATAGTGGTGGTACCTGTGGAAGATAGGACATATACTTGAACAAAGAGACATTTTCTCTAATGTGAATTTGTGAAATGTACAGAATTACTTGTCAAACATATTTTTGTGAAACCTATATGCTAACATTTACTTCTACAGATCCTTACTAAGGAATCATCACATCTAACTGTTCTAAGCTTCCACTCCCAGTTGAGCTAAAAGGAAGAAAAATTAAGCATTTTATTTATGTAATTTTATTTTTAATCAAGAATTAAATGGCACTTATGAAATCAGTTTCTATCACAATATGGTTTCCTGGTCTCACAAGGCCTCTTTATCTAGGCTAGCTGTTACAGTGAATTAAGTAAATAAGAAAAGAAACTAAGAGACTTCCAGTTGAAACGCCACTTTTGCCTTCCTCTCTGCATCTGTCTGTAACTTTTAGTTTCTATCCAGCTTCTATAATAGAATAAATTAATTTTTCTGTGTCAGTCAGGTTTTCTTGCTCATCTTGGTTCAATATTTAAAATTGCTTCAGATCATTATCTTCCTAAGAACTGGGACCATTTTCTTTCTCACAGTGTCAGCACTTAACAATATACACAAAATAAACAAACATTTTAACAAAATAGTTTAGTAATTCTTCACAGCCAGTTTAACAGTTCATAAAAATAATACTGGTAAGGCAACATAAGTTGCTTATAAAACACAGCTAGATACTTAAAAAATTTTCTTTCTCAAAAGGTCACCTAAAAACAGGGAAATGTTCATAGTGCTCCTGTTACTCATTTGCATGCTGCCATGCTACCTTATGTTTTAGCTCCATTTAAAATGAAAACCATGAGAACTGTTTCAAGTATTTTGCTTATCCTCAATGCTATTCATCTGACTTATTGCACAAAGGAAGAACCACAAAGGAATCTGTTTTAAAAACATATGGAAAAAACTAAACTGATTTATTTCATGGCACACCAGGACTTGTGTTTTACTTACATGCTGTTTATTGCAAAAAATCAGCAAAATGCACAATTTCTTTGAGAAAATTGCAAACATTTGTCATTGCAAGAAAAAAGCACATTTCCTTTTCAATAGTATTTTAATATTCGTACAATTATTTAGAATTAATTGAAAAGACATTGTGTATTTACCTATAGAAAAGAAAGTTTGAAATAATAGGTAAATTTAGCCTATTTTATAAAACCAAAACACATCGGACTGAAATATGTTTGCATTTTTCTTTATTAAAATTATGGCACTTAATATTTATTAGCAGAAATAATAACAGGGCTCCACAATCAGAAGCAGTATCATTTTCCAAACATCACATTTGTTCAAGAATGAGCCCTTATAATTTACTCAAAACTGAAGCAGTCTTCATCACAATTTTTTATTTTCAGATTACAACACTATCACAGCTGTATCAGCCGTGCAAGCTTGCTGTTGTTTATTTTCCTTTGTATTCTTTAAGTTAAATTGCAGTTTCACTGTGCTGTCAAGTAGACAACTGTAATAGCATGTCACTGGAAAATGTGTAACATTTATGTTTAATGTGGCTGATCCAGCAAAGAAAAACCCTTCCATTTAGCATTATCCTTCCATTATTTATTTTTTAAATTTTTTTACAAAAAGCTAATGTTGACCATATTGCATGACATTACCAAAAGTATTACAAACTATAAAAGAAAGAGCGTG